AGCAGGAAGTGCCTTCGATTACAAATTCCCATGTCATTTGGCCAGGTAGATATTTAGCAAACGAGGCCTCTTTGGTCAGTCGAACTTCGGAGTTTCGTTGCGTGTACACTGCATCACTCTGGCACGTTCCAATGCGCCGCCGCCATGTTTCTTCAGCACTTGTTTCGTCCCTTTCTCGTGGGTGACTGGTGCAAGTGACATGCACACAGTACACACTTCGCTCGCGCAGCGCTACTATTTTGTACGCGGACTGCGCGGACTGTCTACAGTAGTCTGTTCAGAGTAATTCGTTCCATTCAAATTCATCATGATCATGGGACGGGAAGTGTTTCACACACCACCGATACTTAAATAGAATGTAATTAGAGCAGTACAAAGAATACTTTCAATATTCCGAATTTCAATACCTGCCGTAATTCGCATATATGTATACATATGTATGTATGTATGTATGTATGTATGTATAAGTATGTAATCAGAAGTTCCGCTCGATGTAGCGTAATCTTTATTTATGTTTAATGTTCATAAGCTAAAAAACATTATTGCGCTATTATCGGTCAGTATTTACACAAACTGTGCTCGTAATGGGAGCATCACATTTTAGAGATTTTAGAAAATGATTTTGGAAGCGTAAAAATAACTTCAGTTATGCGTTCCTATCGGTCTTTTTCTGGATTGATAACTGCACCATAGTTAGAATGCTTGTGAGGTGTTAAACACAGAACGATTTTGTCGATGTAAGATTGAGATAATAATATGAAGTGCGTGGGAGGATATAAAAGTATAAATAGCTGTGGAATTTATAAAAACATAAGTTCTTCTTTTAAGTTCTCTAATTTCATACAAAATTCAAATCCATCTTGTGTAAAACTATTGAAAAGAAATTAACCGAGAAGTTTGATTTGAATGATATATAATTGTCTTTCCCATTTTTGTATGCACCGAAGTATGCAGTCTTCAACGTATACATATGTATATGGAAACATGATGAAACATCAGAAGATCAATTTACATGTTATAATTTGTAAAATACACGATATGAGGTGTCATTAGATGAAAAATATATCATATTTTATTGTGCCCGTTTTGGGTCGCATTCGAATACTATCAAAAGATGCGGCAATCGACAAAACTGAGAGTTTCTCTCGCTCGTGAAGGAATCCTAAACTGGACATTCCTAAAGTCCAGATATTAGCATTTTTTAGAACGCTATTTTTACCTTGCTTATTGTGTTTCTACTTTTGCAGCCATATCTACGAAGACGGTAAATAAAAGTTGTTTACCTTAATTTTTGGATACTTTGCCTTTTCACCACATTATAATACAATCGTTATATATGTATAATACGTACTTTCGCTTACAAAATCGCGAGACATAGAATAATTGTTACGTTATCTGAAACATTATTATCAAATCTCTGAACATGTATATATTTACGTTCCCAGTAGATTTAGAAAATCGATTGCAAATTCGTAATGAATCACTTAGTTAAAAAGAAACTTTAAACAGCACTTTATTCGAAGTACATCCTCAATAGAGAAGTGTGCGCAAACATCACCACTGGTGAAGAATGCAAAAAGGCATAATCGATTTGGACACGACAAATATTTGGACCGTGAAGACTCGAAAAACGTGAAAAACGCAAGGATTCGGGAAACGATATCTACCGACTGTCGACGTAACGATTCAGTTAATTATACCAAACTAGTCTCACGCGACGCCAGAACTTCACGAGTTAATACAAATAAAAACAAACGTTCTGTCTTCTTTAAGAAAGGTACCATGTATTTACTAAACCATTGTATAGGTATAACGTAAGGAAAAATATTCTGTTTCTTACTTAACGCATATTGTTGTAATATTACAGGTACGGCTCGCTTAAGGTGTGCAGAGGGCACGTTCCGCGTGCACAACATTTACGGCGATGGGAATTGCATGTTCCGAGCGATCAGTTACATTCTATGGCGAAACGAGGATGAACACCGATACCTCCGTTCCATGGTGGGCTCTATTTCATCCAATATAATTAATCCGTTTTACAATCGGATCCGTTCGTTGACATAGTTTAGAGCGATCTGAACGTAAAACGGAATTACCGGTTCATTTTTAATACCACCACAGTCTTAGAATCTAAAACGCTTTAAAGTAACGACTATTCTATGGCGAGGTTTATTTGCTTGTTCGTCAAACAGGTCGTTCAGCACATCAAAGAAAACTGGTACGAGTACGGACCGTTCGTGATCGCCGAATGGAACATATCGGAACGTCGAACGTATTGCGATTACATGAGCATGGTCGGTACGTTCGCCAGCGAGCTAGAGTGCACGGTAGCCACGAAAATGTATTACATGAATCTGTCGATTTATCGAGAGATCAGAGATCGATACGAACTCAAGCGGGTGTTTCACAACCACGTGAGCTCTCAGTATGAAACCGCAAGGCTTTTATTCACCGGAAACTCGGACAACGGCCATTACGATGTTTTGCTTTCGGAATAAAATACGCATCGTCGGTGGTAACCAAACGAAATCGTTTAATTAAATCTCGTTCTTTCTCCTTTAATAACATATATGTATATTTTTCTGTACGTGTATTCTCTTCGTGCACGCCGTCCGACGATCATTTGTTCTTGACATCTTCGACAAGTTCGAATAAATATTTAACCAAAGAGTATACGAGTTTGCAGGTTCTCCTTGACTAATTGAGCAAATTTTAAAGCAGTCTTCCGTAATAATCTTAACTTCTGTCTTCGTCGTTCGCACGCCACTAGACTGTCCTCGATCTACTAATCCTGTTCTCCATGGTCTAGAGAGACGAATGGGATCTATGCAGGATAATCGCATCCTTGCGAACCAATCCACTCCGTGAATGACGTTATACAATTGTACATCGCGCAGCTGAAACGATGTATTCGGACGTATAGCAATTTTCTTGCGTGGGTCTGGGTTACTGGTTCTGTGACCAACGTCTCTAATTTATGGTAATTTTCAGAGGTATACCTTATACGATACGAAAACCTGGAGATCCAGCCCACTCTTAAACTGTTCCAATCCGTTCGAACTGCCTGCACGATGTCTACAGCTACCTCTTTCTCGGTTTCTGTTGGCGTGCTTTAAACAACAATGGAAATTCGTTCAATTAGTGGAATATATGTACAGGAACGAAACGATAAAAAGGATCGATATGTTTAATGTTCCAAACAATGATCGCATAATCTCCCCCGAAAGTATGCGTACCTGTATTTTGCGATTGGCGAGAACGCGAGGAACGTCAGCTGGCTGCTGTGATTGCTCAATTGTTCGGTCAGACTTTCCATCAGACCTGCATAAAAGAAAAAGCATCGGTTATACTTGTTTGTTACCCTATGATTCCTATCTTCGTAAACATCGTTACGATCAGACACTGACTGGCTATCGCTGCTCTTGAACCGTGGTACGCGTCACAATTTGATGCAACTGGCGTGACACCGACGATATGCGCTCGCTCGCGATACAACATCAGTGGTAAAAACGCCAATACCGTCTGCGAAGACAAAAAATAGCATACACACACACACACACACACACACATACACACACTCGATCGAATGCGAGAACTGATTAAATTCAAGTATTTTTTATCTTTCATCGTAGGGAAGAATTAATTTTACCCAGAAATGGCTCATCAGAGTTTTGCTGGCTGTGTCGAATATATCCTGATCCATGTTGCCCACACAAGTTACCAAAACGTCAACCCTACCGACCTCGTTCTTGATCTTTTGGGCGGTTCTCCGTATGTCTTCACTGTTCAATAAATCGCACTTGTAAGCGGTTATTGCTGCGGTTGGTCGCGGCGAATCGTCTTTTCGATGACTTGGTCTGACTTCTTCGACAACGGGATAACGCGCTTGCAGACCAGAGGCTATTTCTTCGACCGATTTCGACTCACGGTCCACGCAAATGACGGTACATCCATTCTTGGCGAATTCTTCCGCGATGGATTTGCCGAGAGACGACGAGGCCCCAGCTACCTGATGAAAAGGGGAACGTTTTTGTCATTCGAGTCGCGTCGAGCGTTAATTCGAAAGTCGCAGGAAAGGACGGTTTCGGTATCTTATTCCATCGGTATATACTCTGCGAGAATAAGTTCGAGACGTTTACCAGGACAACATCGCCGGTTAAATTTCTCGGCGGTTTGGGCAGTCGGGATTTCACGATCTCAAGAACGGCTAGAAAGCCCGACAGAAGAGCGCCGATCAGTAATTCAACGGTGAGAAACAAGCAGACAGTTACCGAAGGGCTACCGAACCTCGAGTTCACCGTCAGCGTTTCGTCTCTCGGGACAATCATCCTTCGCTGAAACAAAACAGATTACTGGAGAAAACAACATTTTTTTTTTAATTTGTCGAGTTCGCAATTAAATTAGTAATGTAGCGTGGATCACGTAACTCAAAATGGCATATTCGTATTTATCATGGTAAAACAGCGCAGACCTTCTTTCCGGATACATTACTTACAGTCGCGAAATTAAGCATTGCTTAAGAATATGTACCACCAAATTCCTGCACGCGAGGTGAAACGATTTTTAATGCTGTTACCATAATTATCTTTTTGTTTTTCCGAATTACCATTACTCGTTTAACAAGCCAAATACAATTTATCGTTTCTACACAGAGATACCACTTTCAAGCTAGTAGATATGTAAATATAATAGAATCAACAATGATATTCGTGTTATTAAATCTGACACAAAAACAAACTATGGGTACTGCCGTATGTCACGAGTGACCAAGTATATTTTTTTTACATAATGCCTCTGCCGTCTGGGGCCGTTTAAAATCTAATTGCGGTATACGTTTCGTCTACAATTAACAGTAAAAATTGCAGAATTGCATACTCGAGACTAAGAAAGAAGTAAGATCAAGGAGTTGACGCCTGAAAAACACGGCAACAATAGGTACTTCCGCGATATACTTGCATTTCTTCTGCGACAGTTTAATTTCTCGGTTGAACGAACCACGATCACCTTTCTCTAAATATAGCAAACGAACAGAAACGGTATACATGTATTACACGTATTACATACATATGTATACATAGATATGTACGTATACGCTGTAACTTTGAAGATGAGAGGCGATGTTTCGCATTATAAATAAATTTAGGAAATAGATTAATGACCATGTTACACAAGATTTGGGTCGTCATTAGCATGTAGTTTATAACAGTACTTTGAACTCGGAAGTGATCGGTATGCTTGAGGAATAAATTCGGTGTTAAATACTGAAATAGTGGAAAGTCGAGTTTGCTAATCGAGTTGGATCAATAATGTCGATACTTCACAGCTTTTGACACAAGAATGAGTTTCTGTGAATATTTATCTATAACTGTACAATGGAACTGAATGGTCTCCAGTGACATTTCGTATTCTCCTGCCACAAATGTATAAAAAGACGAAACAGCATCTCGTTGTCGCTATCCGATGCATCTTATTGTTAGAGGAAATGCATTTATATAAAATTTATCCGCATAAATTCTCCTACAAATACTATAGCTTGTGAAGTATTCTGTATACATACATATGTATACATATGTATACCGGATAGTCGCTACATTTTACGAGCGCCCTTGATACCGACGACTTCGAGTTCGAGTTACTGGCAAATTTTTGTAGACTGAACGATACACATTATGTACATATGTATAATAACTAGAAATGTCCGGAGGACCTTGCCTCGCGACCTTGCTATTTTAACACTAATATGCCCTCAAGGCACACACCTTCTACAGTGTTTAAAAATCTCTAATTGTAAGTACAGCAAATCAGAAAGTTATTCGTTAGAGTCAATCTTAACTACATAACTACATAACTACATTTCGATCCAGTAATTAGTTTATAACGCTAGATAGTAGTCTTTGATTTTCAAGAAAGTAGATACAGACGTAGTAAACTATCTAGTGTATACTGTGAACTAAAAACGTAATTGTATTTCGACAAATTTAGATTATCACTTACTGACACGCGACGATGGTCATCGCTCCGAGAATGACGCAAGGTCCTTCCGGGACATCTGAGTTATTTGTTCAATGTGTAAGCATTAAGCATCGAAGTACTGTTTTTATTGTACGATCACGTCATTCGTCTCGAAATCTGTTTTAGGATTTCCAAGCCAGTTGATCCATTGCGCGATCACAAGAGTAAGTAACTTTGCAGCAATTGATTTTACGTTGGACGATAAAGAGTAATGCAAAATCATTCTTTTTTTGTTGGACGTAATTCTATAAAATATACAATACATATATGATTCGACGAATGATGATTCACGTAGAATCGACTTGCTAGTAAACAATCTTTCTACTATTAAATGTGTTACGTAGTTAATCAAATGATAATTACATACGGTGCACTCGATGGAAAAGGTAAAGTTAATTACCGCACAGCATCACACGAGGGTATACGAGTGCATTTAGCAGACAACAAATCGTTTTCCTCTAGATTTGCTCAGAATTCATATACAATATATATATATGATATATAAGGCTCTTAAACCAACAATTCTATCCGTCGTAGTTATCTAAGCTTATCATCGTAATAACGTACTTATTACGGGTAACAAAATAATTACTATAATAGACGCTTACCTTGAATTTGTGGTGTTCTGTTGGTAGGAAAAAAGAGATCAGAATTGAAGAAAAAAATTCTTTTAATTCGAGGAATTACTGATTCGATGAAAAGCATTAAGAAGATCGCGATGATCGATGTGTTTAACGATAAAACGTCTCGATTTTGCAGTGACAGTTGCCGAATTATTAGTAACTACACGTTAATTTCGATTATCGTTGCGTTTTGCAATCGCGAAATCATTCTACTATTGTGCTATTGTTTGTGTTTCTACTGATATGGTCCCGTTTTGCCATGCGGTTGAAAAAGAAAAACGTCGCTGAGCCGATTCGAATGAAACGTATCGGAGTAGATATATGTAGACGTCCGTCGACGCGTTAAAAGTTGAAACCGAGACAATCCGAGGCGTTCAAGCAACACTGCTAATATGATAATTTATTTAATCGCGAGAGATGCAAATAACGAAGAACGAAGTCACAAGGAACGCCCCGCTATCCACGTGACAGCGCGCTCGAATAGCTTCAACTTGACTGAATATCGTTTCGTTCGAACATGTCGGGATAAGCCAAGCCGCGAGCAGCAAGCAGCAAGCAGCAAGGCCGTCGCCTCCTTCATCCTCTTCCTTTCCCACTTCGGGACTCGTTGGTTTGTTTGCTTTTAGGTTTAACGTTTTTAAACGACCGAACAACGGATCGAATATTCCGAATCGGCAAGGAGTCGGAACGTTTCTAGCGTCGTCTTTTCTAGCAGATTAATTTTACTCTCGTTGGTCTCTGCTCGTGCGACCTGAATAAATTCTCAAGTACGTACATGTATGTGTAAGTATACGCGAGCCCCGCGAAAGGGAAAGGATGCACCGCATGGAATCCGTGCAGCAACCTTTGAACCGATCCGGTTCAACATCCACGGTCAAGGCCCCGGTTACTACGAGGAATAAATACATATCACACGTACCATGGAATAATCCACATTCATACATATGTTAGTCACGCTTCGGCAGGTCATCGACAATAGAATCTGAATAAGTCTTTCAAGTTGAAGTGCAAAAGCTTAAACGTCTCGTTGAATGTCGTCTATGTATATGTATTGCTTCGTCGTGAAAAATATCTTACTTTCAAGCTAAACGCAGTAACACTTTTTTTTAACTATAATAACACCGTTCTGACGTATCGCTCGCGTCATTCGCAAACTTCTTCTCTCGTTTCCGTTCCGCGTCCGACAGGAAATCGAGAATGAGCCTCATCGTATTTTCAGGAATAATTCTGAAAAGCAAACACGGAAACTATTATTGTCGACGATCGATCGCTCTGGACCACTTTCGTCCACGTTCCAACCTGTTGATAGCGTTCAACGTAAGAAGACATCGTGGTATCGCGTATTCGACGTAATTTCTCCTTATTGCTTTAATTACTTCTTTCGCGGCGTACTGCGGGGACAAAATCCCAAATATATAGGGGAATCTATGATAACATAAAGAAACACGGTGTAAATTATCTCCGAAAGCTATTACACAGCTACTATAGTTCTCGCCTGTATTTCGGATCTCTAGCTAATCCGGTATCCACGTAAAATGGATAAATGGTCGTTAATCGTATATTGGCTGTATCAGGATCCAGCCTTAATTCTTCGTAAAGTCCTTCCATTAATCCTGTAAGGCACGTTTCTGATATTATTGTCGTTACTTCGCTTCGATTTGCAGATTTCCTATTCATACCTCTGACTGCAAACTTTGAAGAGCAATACGCGACTTTTTCAGACACTCCGTATATACCGCACATACTGCTCAAACACACTATGTGACCTTTTTTATTTTTTATCATATTTGGAAGAAAGGCTTCGATCGTCTGGCAAAATGAAACTCCGTATAGATATTTTCTTCTATCTTGACACGACAAAAAGAAATAATATTTTGCGAATACTGGATACTCGATCGATTTTCATACCCAGAAATGCGAGAGAACGTTGACATTGAAAGTCTTCTCGACGAGGTCCTGATCCTGATTCAAAAACGGTGCATGATACAATACTGCAGCGTTATTAATCAAAATTGACACTTCGGGTATCCCCAGTTTCCTCATCAATCTTACGGTTTCACGGACTTCTAGTCTGTTAGATACGTCTACAGCAAAACCGTATACCTACGTCGTACAAAATCGAGATACTTAATGTATTTCTTTTAATCGTTCGATTTTTTCGTCTTACCTCGCCACCGTTTTCCGATACGGCACTCATCGTAGATCGATTTGCATCCGCGTTTATGTCCCAACAAACGATTATGCAACCCAAAGAACCTAACTGCATGGCCAATTCACGACCAATTCCATGTCCAGCGCCAGTAATCTAATCAAAAGCCACTGACGATCACAAAAGTATAATGGATAATGGATAATAGACAGCGAGATATAAAGAATTCTAATCGAAAGAAATCCAAGAATCGAAATGCAATGCAGGATAATTCCTGCTACTTTTACGATTTCGTTAGATCTATTCTACTGGTATTACTTTGAACGTTCTTCGTATAAGATGTATACCTACCAGCACAGTTTCCCCCAATAAACTCTTTGAACGGAAGGGTACGATCGTTCTAATAGTTGCCAATACCATAGTTACACCGATCCTCATTGGCAAAACAAAGAGATCGTACAAGAAGCGCGAATAATCGAATTTCAAGACACGCGCTATAATTGGCATCGCAACTTCCTCGAGTAGCGTTGTGGTTATTCTTCGTGAAATTTTCAAACAAATGGTGAATCTGCTACGGTTCAGGCAACCGTACTAATGCATGCTCGTATGCATATACCTACATAAAGTCTGCGTATAAAAGTTGACTTGCAAAATCACGAATAGCTTTCGGCTGTCAACTGAACGAGCACTTGGACGCTTTAATTAATCACACTGACAGATGATGATATTCTTTTCACCTTCTGTTTATACGTTGCAAATTTCACACGATTCTGTAGTGGTCTGTTTCAACAAGTTTCTACAGAAAGTATAAACATCTGCAAAAACTGCCTTTTAGTTAGATAGATTCAGTAGAAACACGCACGCTCTAGTGATATTCAGGCTTATAAAATATTGTAATTTATCCGTCGCAAATAATTCCCTCTTCTGTAACTTGCAAATCTTCCGTAGGATCTTCAAAGCTTCATAAAGGTTTCATAAGTTTGTCGCCGAAATTTTGATTACCGGTGGCATTCGATAGACGTGTGTAATAATTTGCAGTAGTCCTTTGCCGGATTCAATTTGTTGTTATTACGTGTGGATTACGGGACAATGAACGGTAGTGAAATGGCTGCGTCAGTACACATTTGAAACGTGATTCTTTATGGCTGTTGCTCGTACAAATCTCTAGCTCGGTCGAATGTTGCTCGTGCGACTGTCGTATTGGGACTGACGCTTGTCCGTGTTCCCATGAACAAATTAGATAATAATCCCAGCAACCATGGCAGTTTTTTCTTAAAGAAATCTGTATAAATAAGTACAATAATAAGCACGTAATTAATTTTCTTAATAAAAATTATATTTTAATTTATTCTTGTATCAACAACCTGGAAACTTGTGAAACCATAGTCTCGGTTCATAAATTAATATCAATATTCCAAACATTACATGAATTGGTAACGAATACGTAAGAGACCCCGTGTGTTGAAGCGTGGGGTCATAGAACCCCCGGTGAAAACGCCAGAGACCCCGTGTGGTGAGAATATGGGGTCATAAAACCCCCGGAGTAAACGTCAAGGACCCCGTGTGATGAATAAGTGGTGTCACCGAACCCCCACAGGTGGCGCCAGAGACCCCGTGTGGTGAGAACGTGGGGTCACGAAACCCCCAGTGGAGACGCCTGGGACCCCGTGTGGTGAGGAAGCGAGTTCATAGAACTTCCGGAGCATGCGCAAGAGTTTTGAAACGTCATCATTTCTCGCTGTTGCTCGTACAACTCGCGAGCTCGGTCGAATGTTGCTCGTGCAACTGTCGAATTGGGACTGACACTTGTGCGTGTTCCCGTGAAGAAATTAGATAATAACCCCAGCACCCATGGCAGTTTCTGCAGATACTACTACAGCCCAAGTTTAAAAGACGTAGGCAGTAGTTAGTTTCTGTAGAAACCTGTTGAACCAGACAACTATAATTAGTATAAGATTGTACACTGTTTATGCAGTTATATTTAAGACAATTCGATGAAATGAAGCTTATATTAACTGACGCATGTTTATAGGAATATACATATGTATACATATAAATTCTAATGATATAAAAGTTTGAAATACAATATGATGCGGTACGGTACAATACGTCTATTCGAATCAATTGCTCCCTTGCGACTACAACATCATGCTATCCGCGTTCGGCGCAATGCGCTAATACGGAGGCCAACGAAATATCACTGTAACACTTAAAAAAGTGTTAAAGTTCCATTTATATCATTGTCCTGTGAAAATATTCAT